ACAAAAGTAATTGCAGTTTCGGACCCTGAGTTTTAAATCATTGTAACTAGGCTCCAACACATCTTTATTAATCAAAATAGGAACCATCACAATCAATACATTTTTGCCAGCTAGAAATAAATTTGTTGATTCCTGTAGCGTACAAATCCGTGCTTTGGGGTTTGACAAACTCTTGGAAAGCATTTTCTGCATCCTGGTGGTTGCAGAAGCGTTTTCCCTGCAAAATGTTGTCGAGATGCTTGAAGAAGTGGTAGTTGGTTGGCGAGAGGGCAGGTGAATAAAGCGAATGAGGCAAAACTCCATAGCTCAGTTCATTCAAATTTTGAAGCGTTGGGTGTGCGACGTGCGGTCGGGCGTCGTGGAGAAAAATTGGGTCCTTTTGGTTGACCAGTGCCGGCTTCAGGCCTTGCAGTTTTCGGTGCGTCTCGTGGATTTGCAGAGCACGCTTCTCAGATGTAGTGGTTTCGCCGGGATTAAGGAAGCTGTAGTGGATCAGACCGGCGGCAGACCACCAAACAGTGACCAGGACCTTTTTCTGGTGCAAGTTTGGCTTTGGGAAGTGCTTTGGGGCTTCTTCTCGGTCTAACCGCTGAGCTGGTCCTCGCTGGTTGTTGTATGAAATCCACTTTTCATTGCACGTCAGAATCCAGTTGAGAAATGGTTCGTTGTTGTTGTGTACAATAAGAGAAGATGCTTCAAAACAACTACTGTATCGATTTTTGGTCAGCTCACGAGTACCCACTTACCGAGCTTTTTCACCTTTCCAATGTGCTTCAAATGCCGAACAACAATAGAGTGGTCTATGTTGAGTCTTCGGCAACTGCTCACGTAGTTGTAAGAGGATCAGCTTTGACAATTGCTCTCAGCTGGTCCTTGTCAACTTCTGATGGCCGGACACTGCGTTTACTCCCTGGACTGGTCACCTTTGCCTTAGTCAGTGTGTCTGGGAGAAGAGACCTCTGTGGGAGCGCCAGGCTACAGCGGGGGCTGCTTGGTCTGAATTCTGGGGGCGGCCCCGATAGGTCTGAGTTGCAGAAACTGCGCTGGCCACGCATTAGAGTAACCTCAAATGTGGACGACCCGTGCCAGGAAGTCGCCTTACTTTGTGTTCAGGTACTGAAAGCGAAGGGGGAAAAGATAAAATGGGAAAGTAGCGGAAATGGGGGGAGGACGCTCAGCTACTCGGGATGCAGTCCTCCTCCTGGGCGCGTTGCCGGCCTGGGCCAAGGCCGCCGCTTGCTTCAAGTCCCCGTCTCTTCCCTGGGGGTGGGAGCCGCTGGGAGTGACAGACGTGCAGGGGTGCGCTGGGCGCCCTGTGCCGCGTGCTCGCCAGGGTGACGGCATCATTCGTGCTCGCATTTCTTGTGTATGCTCCGTGGTGGCCTCATCCTGCTGTGGGGCTGCTCCAAGCACGATCCACGAGCTCTCACCATCTTGGCGTGAGTCCATGTAGCGCCTTGATGTGACGCACTAGTGAAGCATCGCCTGGGCCTGCGCCAGTGGGCTGTGCCCTGTGTCCACACCTGTGACTGGGAGTCCGTCCTCGCTGCTGTGCCCTGGGTGAAGCTGTGCCCAGGATTTCTCACTGACTCCTGGTGGGGACGCTGCGTCACCCTTGGCTGGGCCCGGGGCTGGCTCGCCTCACACGCATTCCCGTGTTTAGCGAATGGGACAACAGCAAGCTTCTTCAGGGCCCGTGCTTTGTATTTGCCCTTTAATACCTTGCAGTCAAAATCTAGAGTCCACTCCGTGGCCCAGGATGCTTCAGCGCCGACAGGCAATGGCATGGCTGGGAGACGGAACTGGCAGCATCTGTTGCGGGCACCCTGGTCACTGTCCGGGGTGTTTCGGCATCTCCCTGCCTCTTTCTTGCTGCAAGTGTTGACTGAGCCTCTGCTGTCCCTGTGCTGTGCCGGGGGTGGCCTTAGGGCACCAACACTATACACAGAGCGGGCACTGCCCCTGCTCCTGGAATTCTTTTCCACGCGTGTGTACCGGAGCCTGCACCTGCTCCTCCCCACCATTGCACGGAGTACAGCAGCTGGAGAGGCAGGAGGAGGAGCAGGCGAAGGGCCCTCACTGAGAACGTCGCTCTGGGGGACTCAGACTCTCACGCGCAGACAGTGTCTGGGTCGTGGAGAGCGTGTGTGTGCAACCTGTCCACTGGCCACCGCCAGGGTCCCTGTTGACCTTCCTTTCCTGTCTGGAGGGGACACCCCATGTCCACCTAGGAGATGGGGAGGACGTGGCCTTGGAAGGGCTGGGGCATGGCGCAGCCATCAGCTGCCTGCCTCCCAGTCGCTTCTGCACAGACCTGTAATTACCTGACTCTTGTGAGGAGAACAAAGGAGAGAGGGTGGCAATTTTCAGCGTGTTGTGAATGCTTGTGAGAAGAGATGGCTTTATGGCTGAAGACAACCTTACGGAAATAAAAATATAGCAGAGCTGACATCCGCTGGGGTGGGGGTTGTCTGAATTCCAAGCAGCACATTTAGCAGACAGTGCCGTTTGCATACGGAGTGTCCTCTGCATATCTTTCATGCCTCGCCTGCCTTTTCTGGAAAAAATCCAGCCAGAGTGAGGTGAGAGGCCTCAGCATGCGCCCTGACATAGCCTGTTCAGTTTCGTATGTCGAAATCCCCAGACATCATTTCCTGCTATTGTATCAGGCATATTCCTATATCTGACATTGTAAATATTTTCCCAGCAGGAGTGAGAAGGTGTTTCTTGTCCTGGTTGGTCTGTGGCCTGCCCCTGGCTGGACGGGGCCGCTGTCCGGAGGGAGACACCTCTAACCACATGTCATCAGGGCTCTGGAGAAGCTGTCTCCATCCAGCTATGTGCAAACGACCCTGTGTCAGAAGCACCAGAGTTTTTGGCAAAATAAAGACAAATAGATTTAAAATTGGCTCCAAAAATCATAAGACTAAACAATAAGGGGAATGAATCCCTGTCTGACAGCTGCTGTAAGGAGTCATGCGTTTTTGCCGTGGGCTGTGGCCTCCTTTGCGTGGTACTTGCTACTGTGGAGGACTGAGTCCACCCTGAGCACTCTCGGAAATAGTTGTCAAATGCATTCTCTGCCACTCCCAGGCTGTGGACCCACAGGTACTGTGGTCCCTGGCGTCTGCCTGTGGAGTGCTTTGTCTTGGACAGCCTGAGTGGGGACGTTTCCTGTGGTCCTGGTTCTGGGTCCAGGGGCAGGCGGGACGGCGGTGGGGTTTGTGGTAAGGACAGCTGGGTGGCTGGCAGGGGCGAGGCCACAGTCCCTGCTCTCTTCTTCCCTCCCTCCTGTCCCTGGGACACTGCCCCGCAGCAAGGTCACCACCCAGGCAGCTTTACGTGCGCTTTGTGGTAGAAAAACCAGAGTCCCCTGGCAGAACTGTCCATGATGACCTGTGGGCCATGCCCCCTTTACAGCTGAGTAAACTGAGGCCTAGTGAGGCCAAAAGGCCTAGAAACAACACAGAACCTCTGACTCTCCAGAATTAGACTTGCAGGACCTTGGTACAAAGACCTTTGTGCATGTCACGTGTCAGGGCGACAGGCGTGGGCTTCAGGGAAGAGCATGCACGCATTCTAGTTGCGGGAGGTTGTGCCATTGGGGCCAAACTGCCGACTCTCAGGAAAGATGGTGGACACGGGAATTTCCCAGGAGTTTCAGCAGAGCCTGGCGACGGCCTGGCTGTTTCTGCATAGAGAAGCTGAAGGCAGCGTCTGTGAGGCGAGAAGCCGGTTTGCCCCTTGGAGCAGAAGCTGATTGAAGGGGGAGCTGCTCAGCCAGGATGAGGCTGGGACTCCCGTGTGGAAGGTCCTGCAGTGGCGCTGGGATGGCAGTTACGCCTCCCAGCGATGACACACTCATGTGGCAGAGGGTTGCACACCGAGCTAGCTGGCCAGGGAAGGGGGTGCAGTTCCCGAGGCTGGGAGTAAGGTCCCACGAGCAGGGACGATACTTGAACCTATAAGAGTGTCGGGTTAAGGGAGGAAGACTCAGGTCCGAAATCCACAAGCCTGAGATGTGGTCAGGCCCCTCCAGATGATGCACTTGTGGTGGGAGGACCCGGTGTGGAGGTGGCGGCAGGTGTCTGCTGCGGTGATTCCTTCTGCACCAGCGCTGTTGCTGCACGTGGCGAGAGACTGAGGGCTGGGTGGGGACCTCGAGGGCGGGTTGGACAGCTCAGAGGAGAGCACGGGCACATCCCAGAACCTAGAGTCACGCCCTCAGCTGCCCTCTCCCACCAGAGGTGGCCCCGTTCCCGTTCCTTGCGTGTTAGAGGGATTCACCCCCTAGAAGGTACTTGCAGGCCAATCCCGTAGGAGCCGTCTGTGGCTGGCTGTGGACGTGGGTCTGTTGTCTTTAGAAACGACCCGGAGCTCCTGATCCATCTTGAGATCACTGTGGGTATGATATCGAGTTCCCACAGGACGTGGGGTCTTCGGATGAACTGAATGGTTAAAAGGGTGATGTATTGTTTCAAACTTGTGTACAAAACAGTATTTAAAAGCTCCCAACAATTTTGATTGTGTAGCAATTCCCTGCCTGCCATTTTCATACAGAACGATTATTAACGACTGTGGTAGGTTTCTAGGTGGTTCCTGTCAAGAGAATCTAAGCAACTCCCGTCGCTTTGCTCTGCTCCTGATCTCCCGCTGCCCTGGAACCAACACCGAGATCTGTTTCCATACCAGTTTCTCTTTCTCTTGCGAGAGTATCTGCCCACCGTGTTGGGCTATCAGGGTTGACATGAATATTCCCGTGATGAGGGCACCTCCTGCTGCAGCCTGTGTTTCGGAAAAGCACAGCCTGTGATATAGTGACTGGGAGATGGGACGATGGATCTCAGTGTCAAAGAAACCAGCACCCGGCAGGGGCCGCCCCTGCGCGGACAGTGGCTTGGCGCGTGGGTTTCCATAAACATCAGTGTTTCCATGCGACTTCAGAGAGGCACCTGGTGTGTTGACTCGGTGATGACTCATTTTTAAATAATCTCTTCTAGTGTTCTGGGACCAGCAGTGACCTTCCAGGTGAGCACCAATGCCCAAAACGTGACAACTGCAGACGTCGCAAAGGCCACAGGTAAGGTTGTTTCCACACGCGCGCCACATGCGCTGACGCGCACACACCCGACCGTGAGGGCAGAGACGCAGGTGCTCTGGGACAACCCAGAAGAGAGTCCGCCGTTTCCCAAGAGCTGGTATTTAGCAGGGGAGGCCGGGAGGGGAGGCTGAGGGTGACCTCACAGCCCGGGGCATCCCGGGACCTGGCTGTTTGGAAAGGGCCTGGGCTACCGCGACACATGCAGCTGGCTCCGGATGGGAGGTGGGAGACGCGGGCTGTGCTTGACAGAGAAAACGTCTGTCTTTGGGACATGCAAGGTCCGGTGTCTGTGGTGGCTCCAGTGTGAGCAGAGCAGGCGCAGCTTTGCTCTGAGCTTTCTCATTTTCACAAGACGGGAGCATGAGTGGCCCTTCCTCCCACCATCCACGGGTCCCATGTGGCGTCCGGGGGGTTTGCATAAAAGCGCATTCTAGGCCAGGCGCGGTGGCTCACGCCTGTAATCCTAGCTCTCTGGGAGGCCGAAGCAGGCGGATTGTTTGAGCTCAGGAGTTTGAAACCAGCCTGAGCAAGAGTGAGACGCCGTCTCTACTAAAAATAGAAAGAAATTGACTGGACAACTAAAAATATATAGAAAAAATTAGCCGGGCATGGTGGCCCGTGCCTATAGTCCCAGCTACTCGGGAGGCTGAGGCAGGAGGATCGCTTGAGCCCAGGAGTTTGAGGTTGCTGTGAGCTAGGATGACGCCACGACACTCTAGCCCAGGCAACACAGTGAGACTCTGTCTCAAAAAAAAAAAGTGCATTCTAGACAGTTTTGCCACGTAGGTCCCAGGTTTCCATGTGTCCGCACACGTCTGCAAGACTGTTCCTGATAGAGCTGAGTGACCTTGTCACGTGACTGGGGAGCGTCCTCTGCCTGGGGACACGAAGAGCACAGTGGGATGATGGACGGAGGTTTTACATTTTCCTAAACCTGATGGCTCTTTTTTTAGCTCACTGAAAACTCTTATAAAATGTGTTGCTCAATTTTTGTTACGAGACAGGAAGATTGAACAACGTAGTTTACAAGAGATGAGAGGTCCTTGTTGTGATGGTTTTCAAGCTCTAGGGTGACTGTTTCATAGTTTGTGGTTGTTTACGGGAGACGCGGCAGAAGGCCCTGACCCCAGACAAGGAAGAAAATGACTATTTTAGCCAATCTTCTGTGTTGCTAAGTATGTTACTTTTTTACTGAAATTTATGTCTTTTTTTCCCAATATAAAATGCAGCAAAATATTCTGGTTGATTTAGAGGTTTGGAGGCCTGGTTGTTATTGATCGAGGCTTCACCGTGTTGGTGTCCTGTTGACCTGAAGTGTCTGTATCTGGTGACGGTACGCAGGGGACAGAATAGCTGCTGCACCCCGTGTGATGGAATAAAACATTGGCCTTAGCTCTTCTGGTTGCTGGTGGTTGTGCTATGGGATGTCTTTGTGTCTCCAGGGATTCGTATTTGCCAAAGGTAGTGACTTTGGGGTCTGAGAGTTTTGGGATAAAATAGAATTCTTTACAAAGTTGCGCTGAACTCCTGAGACCCGATAGAGCCGGCTCTGCGGAGTTGAATCCCCGGGCTCTACTCCACATCAGGGTGTGTGGGGCTGGGGCACCACCTGGCAGGGTGGCTCAGCTTCCCCGCTTCAGCCAAGTGGTCGAGTGTGGTCCCAGCAAGGATGTCGGGGGGGGTTCATTCTAAATGCCACCCACCTGGGAGGGAGAGGCGTGTCGGTGCCAATGCTTCTGACCCCTCATGGGCTACGGGCTCTCTCCGTCCCTCAACAGCACCTGAGGTCCTCGCCCCAGTTCCTTGACATAAGTGATCGTTGGACGTATTTAAGACCAAACCAGTGATGAGAATTTTTATCAGGAATGCGCGGACAGACTTGCGGGTCCAGCACTGCGAGTGACCCCTCTGGTGCTAGATGTGCTGGGGCTTAGGGAAGCTAAGACAATGGCCTTTCATTTATTGCGTTGCTTTCTAGAAAAAACGAGGCTGATTATTTGAAATCTAGTTTCTTGGTCATTTCGAGAATGTTCATGTTATGTACCGAAGTGTCGCGTCAAGGGGTGAATCACATACAAAATGTGCGTTGACTCTCGTATCAACAATTTTCCAAATACGTGAATTTGCAAACAGACACAACTGCGTTTGTACTAACCGTGTGGCTGTGCATGCCAGAAGATTTCTGGTCCTATGTGTGCAGGATTGCTAACACACACATAATTTAAAAAAATTAGTTCCTTTCATATTTTGGATATTTCTATGGTATCCTGAAGGTACTTGGTGCTCTGTAGGAAAAGGCTCATAAAACATAAGTTGTGACCGTAGGATGGCAGAGTCAGGCCCCAGAAATGCACACATGTCGAGGCGCGAGCCCCAGTCTGCCTGGCAGAGTGTTCAGCGCCACGACGGGGGGCCCCCACCGAGCACAGCGTCCAGAGAAGGGACGTGCAGGTAAGCGAGGAAGAACTTGGAATCAGAAGGAGTTTCTTGTGGTGTCTAAAGATGACATGGGGCCTTAATCCTGTCTTGCAAATGACCTGGTGTTGCTGTCAGGGCAGACGAGTTTCGGAAAGGCTGCCGTGGCGTTGGCCCTGCACGCAGTCGGCACACGGAGGGGCCAGGAACAGGTTGCGCTGCCCGAAAACCCAACTGTGTGTTTGGCTCCCGCAGGGGGCACATCTCAGAAGTGGGCGACACGTCTGTGCATCGGGGGAGGTGGCGTGGCGAGACAGGGCTCCCTGGAGAAGTGGCTGTGAACTGACCTAGGCAGCTGGGGATGAGAAAGGCGTAAGTCACACAGCGTAGGTGCGAAGCCCGACAAGCCAGGGACATGCGGAACGGGCTCATGAGGCCAAATGTGGAATCGGACTTTGCCATGTGGGAATTTTGTCTTCCACATCCGCCATAAGGGACTTGGCCTGGATTTCGCAGCACTCGTGGCATTGGCAGGACCTGGTGTGGTGAGGAGGCCTGGCCACGGGGAGGGCAGGGAGGCCCCTGGCGCAGTGTCAGCCCACACGTGGCACCATCCTCTCCCCGCGTCCTGAGTCCCACTCGGGGGGAGCTGCAGGCTGGTCCCAGCTGCTGTGGGGTCCGGGACCTGCTCCAGCTCATTGCGCCCCATCGTGACTGAGAGATTGGGTGAGAATGAGGGAGATGGATGGACGTGAATGTGGAAAGAAGGCTGCATTTTTTCTGGAAATAAAGGAGGTGCTCTGGAAGTGCTGGGAAAGCCCCTTGCTGGGGAAATGTGTTCGTTTACAGGTGGACGAGACACCTCTTAAAAATTAGCAAATGCAGACCCCAAAAGGATCTGCGCTCTCCTCCGAGGCACCCGGAGGGTCAGGGCTTTTAAGGTAACGGGGACCCTGGAGTTTCCCTAACTGGACCCCGCGACACAGTGAGGAAGCTCAGACCAGGCGGCCGACTCCTGGCCTGGCGACCTCCCCCAGCCACAGGCCGCGTGGGAGCCGTGTGGGAGCTGCGTCGTCCAGGACGGACTTGCTGGGGTTTGCCCAGAGCCTCAGGTGGTCTCCTGCATCGCGTTGGCCGCGGCCCCTACAGCTCCAGGCAGGAAGGGTGCCGTGCTCCTCCTCCTCTGGCCTGACTGAGTTCTTGGGCAGGGCGTTGAGGGACACAGAGGTGCCTGAGGGGGAGCAAAGGTCCCAGGAGCAGTGGGGAGGACAGGCCTGGAGGAGCTGGAGCATCGGACGGAGGGGCTGGCGGGCTGGGCGAGGCCTGCGCGTGTGGACTGCAGCGCTGGAAGGCAGTCTGGGAAGAAGAGACCTATTTTCCAGCCCTGACCGTCCTGTGTTGCTCATTACTTGGAAGAGAACAGTTTGCTTTATTTACTGAAACGATGGTAAGTTTCAAAGGCATCGTGCAGGGGAGAGTCCTTATCGTGTGGCACGTCCTGCCGGCTCTCCTGTCCCATAGTCATAGAGTGGAACTCGTCTCAGAGCATCACCATGGTTGTGCATGGAAGATTTTCCTGCGGAGGGAAACTGGTGGTGAGGCGCTCTGCTGCGCAGTCCAGCCAGCTGCTTTTACTGCTCTGACACCAAGAGAAAAGACATGGAGACAGGAGATGGGAAGAGGCAGGAGACGGTCAGGAAGGTCCATTCTGGGCCAGCTTGAGGGCCCTGCTGCCGAGCGCCCACGGGGAGTCAGGAGAGCCGAACACACGCTGGGCCACGGCGGGAGGAGACCCAACGCCCGCTGAGGAGGGCCTGGCTCTGCTGGGGATGGTCTCTCAGGCTGACCCAGGCCTGCCCTGCTTGCTCCCCGGAGGGCCGTGTGGTCTCAGGACCAGGGGATGGAGAGAAACTCTCACGGCCCAAGGCTGAGCGCAGTGGTCTCTGGGGCTGGCGCATTCTCAGTGCTCCTGCTTTGCTCACGGAGGCGGTTCTCGCCACTGCCAAGCCGTCCCACCCACCAGAGCCTGCTGAGGGCTGCCACGTGCCGGTCGCCATGGGGGTAGGGGGTGCCCGAGATGAGACAGAGGGTGTTCTAGGGCAGATTGGGGTCCAGTCGGGCAGGTGCAAGGGAGGGAGTGAGTGGCCTGCGTGGCAGGGCAGAGTGTGACATAGCGTGACGGACCATGTAACAGGTAAAGCACAGCACAGGGATGGGAGCTGCTTTGGGTGGGTGACCAGACACGCCCCTCAGGAGGGACCTAGGGGCAGACCCGTGGCATCGAGGCAGCTGCGTGGACTCCCGGGGAGGGCAGAGGTGGCGGACATGCGCTTGGCAAGTCCCAGAAACACCGAGAGGCCGCGGGCCGCCCCAGCGCCTGCCTCAGCACCTGCGTGCGTGTTGGGGGCCAGGCGACTCCAGCAGGCCTGGGAGGGCCTTTCCCCGAGCGGGGTCCCTGCACAAGAGCGGGGTTCTGAACAACAGTGTGGTTGTTCTGGTCTGTGTGTGGGGGCCCCTCTGGCTGCTGCGCAGGGAGCACACTGTGGCCTGCGGTGGGTGGGGAC